GATTGGATCTACGGCTGTGAAAAGCCATCCTGTGTAGCTCGCAGGGTCATGGAGGTACGCCAGCCATCACACCGCGTCAAGGTGCAGTCTCGTCGTGATGGTACCGCCTTACGTGAAGACAGTCAATCTCTTCACAGGACGCAAGTCGACCACCTCGCCATGAACCACCGCTGGCGAGGATCCAGTAAAGATTGCCGCTCCGAATGGTCCACGCTCGTGGACACAGACCATGCTCTGTTACGAGCGAGATTCTCCCTACGCCTTGTTAACAACCGCCGGAAAGCCACCGAAAACGGATGCCCACAACGCAGTGTCAACAACGACTGCTAATCGGCCTGTGAAGCGGAACTATCTGATCGCCTCTCAGCTAAACTCAGTGAAAAATGGACAGCAATCAATAAGCGATCAAAACAACGGCGGATTCTGATGCACGATCAAATCAAAACGATGCATCTCACTGATCTCGGTTGTCTTGGTGAAGCTCGCCATCCCTTCAGATTTAAGACTTTTAATTACTCACCTAAGTGTGATGAATAGCAGACGATGATGATCGAACTCAGGTGACTGGTCAGAAGCGAGATACAATCACGAGGATTGACAAAGATCCAGTTAAAGAAGATTATATATATATATATATATATATAATCTTCTTTAACTGGATCTTTGTCAATCCTCGTGATTGTACATTTCCATGCCTCCGTATCCCTCGAAACAAGTATGAGTTTGTAAAATGAAAAAATTTCTACACAATTCCAGTTTCGTTTTGATTTGACTACCTGTGAAATCGCTATCTGGACGAGAAACGTTGTCGGAAGATGATCATTTGGGAATCTAGTATCGAGGCAAACAAACAAACAAGCAGGTACTCACTTTTAAGACTCAGTAACAGATGACATTCGTGTTTCCGGTAGAACTGGATATAGGATACAAAAGCACGCACGCTCTTTTCGTACAACAATCTAGTAATGAATAGAAGGGAGAGTAGATGTCAAGTGCACTGACTTCCGCAAGAATTCTAAGCCACTATCGCTAGTGATAACAATACAATGTTGTGTTAACTATGATACTGGTAAGACTTCTGCGGACTTCGAACATAGTTCGGCACTTACATAAAGATAGTGAATACATAACTGATAGCTGCCGAACCGCGACGCATTGTTTTGAAGCTTTTTTAAGCAAATCAGGAAAAGTGACGGAAGCACAGCACAAAATGTTGGACGATATGCATTGGTTAACGAAAGAAGATATCACTGATTCAGTAACGTGGGACCAGAACTTTGGCAGATGAAGCAAAACAACAGTCATGGGTTTCGATTCGAAAAGATCGCTCGCCGCGGAGGAATTCGAGCCCAGTTACGGACACTGCCCACGTTTTTCTGCAGTGCATGATCTACCTCGGATTTAAAGCCCAGCTGGTAGAGTGTGCGCTTTACAAGAGTGTAGGTGACATCAGTACGTGGGTTCGAATCCCATTGAAGTTATTTGTTTTTCACAACCATGATAAGTTATTGTCTAAGTTTTCAAAGCTGAAAAGAAATACGGCAAATTTGTCCAAACATAGCACTATTGAGCACTAACTACGGAGGGAGTCTACTAATGTAACTTCAAGATGATTAATGGACTTCGAGCGGTACAAGGGATTATAATTCAAAACAATCGAGTCACGTGGAAATTCGGAGCGAGACAGAGAGAAAATGCATCACAAGGCGTTGAACAAGAGTCTTTTGTCTGATGAAAAGATGCGAATTTCAGCAAGACAAAGACACGACAAAGACTATAGAGATCTGAGTGACATGATGATTTGACAACGGAGCCGTCCACAAAATTGCGAAACCAGCATGAGAACTTTTAGGGTGATTAACGATGTAGGTTGAAAGAGGAAAGTGTTCAAGAAAAGTACCTGGCAGGATACACGAGTCTTTTATAAGGAGCTCAGACAACTTTTTGTTATCTTCGAAGCGTTGCTCACGTTGTAAAAACACAAAAGTAGATTATGGGGCAAACAAGCGTTTCAACATTTTGGAGAAACGATCTCGTGAAGTTCAGGTAACGGTTATCTAAAGATTTCGCAATATGATAAATCGGATGCGATGGTGTGTTAGAGTCGATCCGTTCAATCTGTGTTTGAGCAAAAAAGGTTCATGTGAGGAGAGAGGATGGTGCGTCTTATTAAGGTACGAGCAAGGGGACGACATCATTTGGAAACGATGGATAAGTTGGTTTCTGATAAGGGAACAACAGCTACGGGGTACCATCCTTTCGGGGATAAAAAACTTGAAGATAGGTCTCTGTTTATTAGGGATGTCATTATTCAAGGTACGGCGTAGGCAGCCGGTTTGGTGATCTATGGATACAAGTTCTCGGGAGACACGGCAGAGGCTGATTGGTACACTTCGGAAGCCACAAAACCACTTGTGGCGTAAATGATTCTGATAAGGGAGAAGTAACGTCGCCGAAAAGCACAGGGATGAATACTATTGACTGAATGAGACGTTCAGTCTGTCACTGGCAACAGCAGGTACTGAATATATCTGCTTCTGTCCTAATAGCACTTGGTTATTTTTCAACGTGAACTGAAAATCATCATGTCCTAGGAGTTTTCTTCCGCAGGAGATCCACTCCAAAGTATGGCTTTCCAGTTGACCAGACCTGTACAATATCTGATTCACGCAAGTTCGAACCCGGTAATCAACCCTTTTCTGTAGTCTTGGAGACAGTGACAACGAAAATGAGAATAAACATCCTGTGTCAGTTTTTGTTCAATTCGGACTATGGTTTATAACACACATATTAGATTTCCAAATTGCATAGAGTTGCCGGTTAGTCGGTTGGACCATTGATTGATTGATTAAAGTTTGAACTGGACAACGATTAAACAGAAATCAGACGATTCTCGTGAAATCAAAAGAAGCGTCATAGAAGTGAAGTGTTACTTGTCTTTTTTGCAGAGACACCGAATACGTGAGGTAATCGCATCCGGTGTTAGCTGACCACCAGTTTCCGGGACGCATAGTCGCTCCAAATTGTCCGGTGATAATTCGGCGAGATGCACCTGGAACCGTAAAATAACAATGGGAGGAAACCACCAATTGTGCTATATTATGCAGTCGTCTCAGTGGTTAACGAGCTGCTTTTTAAAGCTTAGACAGTTCAACAGCAGTGATGAGATAGGCCAAAAGGATAAAGGAACTATCGACCATTACGACGTTCCGATGTTCGTGTGCTTGACTGAGAACTCGGAAAATGAACAACCTGAGTAATCTGGTAAGCTAGATGCGATGTATTATACTGCACATACGGAACAGACCTTCCAGCGCAAAAGTAATATTATCTCGATATGAGCACTCAGAACTAACGGACAACCGAAGAGCGCGAACGTGATGCACACACGCGGAGCGCAGACCATGAGAGTACTGCTCGACGCTGATTGGCGTGCCAATAGAAAGAAAATCCCTAACGGTTGCAGCGATTCAACGTGCTGTATATTAATCTGAATAACGCAACAGGACAGCTAGGCAGAGAAGGAAATGCGCCCTATCCATAGCAGACTGCAAGAACAAAATGACCAATCGAAATCACCATTGGGGTGGTGATGAAAGACTATCTGAAACAGCTCACCTTTTGATTGATCTCCAAAAAGTTGACATATGCGACCTCGTTTGGGGAAAGGAACAGTAGTGCGCGTCCCTCAGCCCCGCATCGGGCGGTGCGCCCACAGCGGTGCACAAAGGCACTGCAATGAAAGAAAGTCAAACAAAGGATGATAAACACAGTGAATAAAGAGTCAGGGAAGATTTTGAGCCAGTTCTCAATCTGTCGGGTACTAAGATGAATACAAAATGTTTTTTTATATTAAAACGGAGGATAGAGTGAAGGTAGCACTTGCGAGGGATGGAACAAGGTATAGTCTATAGTATACATGAGCAGTAAACTAACATGTTTGTTTGAACTAACTTAGGTCTTGAAGCATGTAATGATTCAGGCAGGTACAGTACATATACGCACACACCGGAAACCAGTAGTGGTTGCCACACCTTAAAGATCAAGTACGTTCGATTCCCCCGACAAATACAAGCACTATAGAGAAATTGACCATTTTGAATTATGAAGTTGCTGCCGGCTAACCCATGTCCGTATTTTTTCTCACAAATACTTCTGGAGGAAAATGGCTTTTGTGAAAAAGTAGTACGAGACATCACTAAAAGAATAGTCGTATTGCTGAAGTTCGGCTCGAACAGTTACATTTTATTAAAATCTAACTTCAGTCTGAACAAAAAACTCCCAAAGGGGGCACAATTCTAAGGCGTGAGTTTTGATAGCAGTTAACATACAGACACTGAATATGACCAAATAAGCTCAAATAACACAGGATAGACAATGCATATAAGCCTATTATCATGAAAAGCAAATGGTCAAGTATACACACACACACACACACACACACGTCGACCAGTAACGCCCCCATATAAAATGCATTATACAGACAGGATGCGTTTAGGGTCGGGAATGAGAGAAACGGTGAGAGCATAACGGTCGCTAAAGAGGTTGGCGGTGGAGGGGGATACGAAAGAAAGGGATAAAAAACAGAACAGTGCGGGATGCCACCACTGACATGATGAACTCACTTCGTGCTCGTAGGCGGATCACACTGCAACACCCAACTGACTTTAGGTATATCTACTCCACGTGCCATAACGTCAGTACAAATTAAGGCTCCTCTGGTAGGGATAAAAAGATTAGTTGGGTATGATTCGGTGCGAAAAAGAAAACAAACGTTTCTACAAAAGAAAACGCGAAACGAAACTGTGTGATTATCAGAAAAAAAGTAGTTGCAATACGACTGCGGTTCATGCTCGACCCCTTCTTCGAGACAGGAGGCGTTTGTACCCCAAGCAAATGTACTACATCACGCTTGGTTCTTTTTCTTCACTGCCGACTATGCGCTAGGATTCTTGCAGCACACATGCAATCAGTCAAATCTACTGCAAATTGTCTTCATTCTCTGCACTTCAACCACAAAGTAAGCACATGCGATATGATATTGGGGCTTTTGAATTATATTATGTGGCATTATATCACATTTAATGTTTCGCCCACTGGGGACTACTTTCAGTTTTCCATGTCATATACGTCATAGTTGACTGTGACTGCAGGATTGATTCCGCTGAACATCATGCATTGATATGTAATAAAAAAGCGAAATACTTGAAGGACATTTACTGTGACCCTAAGGATGGCAGTACCGATCAGACAACATAGGAACACGAACCAAACGATAGCACAGAAGTAAAACGTAACGACCCAGTGACCGAACGAGAACCGCTTGATTACGCCCAACATTCACGTCTGAAGCCTAAAGTGAGCACCAGAACGAAGAAGGTTCAGTTTGTGCTACCAATATACATAAACTTTCGTAAGCCGGTTTTGGTTGCTGTCTTTTGGATGCCAATTTGTATGAACCAGTAGAACCACGAAACGTAGAAATGGAGTGGAAGAAAACATGGAGCATTTCAATGGACTGAGGTCATAAAGAAATAGAGAAGATGAACGGACGTCACTGTATACAACATTCAGAAATATAATTCGCCACCCCTAATCACCGTACACAATCATCCTGGGATTCGCGTCCAGGGAGCCTAACGAGAACTCTGTGACCACCCTTTACTTGACTGCGGCTGACTCCATGGAAAGGATAAGCCGGCTTTCAGACATAATCATGGTCGTGAAGTTCCTTGGGAGTTTGGCTACGAGAGACGTCCCCAGCGTCACTCGGCGTTTTTCATTTTACGGGTGCACCTCTAATCTTTGCACAATCAGGTGCGAGCTGCAAGGCAGCAGGAAGTAATCCCTCGCCCCGGAAGTGAGAGGGTCAATGACCTTAGTTTTAAAAGGCCAGTCACATCCACCTTTGTCACGATACCGTCATTGGGCTTATGCAGCTTTTAAACAGGAGCCAGGTGATCAACCTGAAACCCACCACACCCTGGTAGCGCCGCCGCTGTCTGTTCGCGACTGCTTATTTGTTGCGGTATACCACAACTTATTCACAGCTAACCTTCTTCGGTGAAGGTATCCCCCTATCCACAATCCGGGGACGCGCCTGGTAGCATTCAGCTCTGCCTAACCCGGGGGTATCCACCACCCTTGGCTTTGTTTCACCCTCTATCTGCCTCGGCAAAGATCGCGAGCCGTGGCAATCCATTTGATGACATGGGTAACACATACCCCGATCGACGTAATATATGGAGGTCGACCACCTGCTCCAGTGGGCGACCGCGGATACCCAAAACTCTGCGCCTAACCTCAGCATTGCTCATCCGGCTACCCCACCAGATTCGTGCAATGCTGCGTAGACAGCGGTGTTCAGACACCGACAGTTCGTCTTTATCCTGTTTTCTTAATGGCCAAGTTTCTGCACCGTACAGCAGGACTGGTCGAACTGTCGCGGCATACACTCGACCCTTCACAGACAGCTGGATGTCGCGACGGCGCCACAGATGTCTCAAGTTGGCAAATGCCAACCGAGCCTTCTGCATGCGAGCTGACACTACCTACGTGATGCGTCCACCGGGTGAGATGTAGCTGCCCAAATAACAAAACTTATCCACTTGCTATATTACTTCCCCAGTTAGAGTGAGGCTAGGCGCTGGACCAACCCAATCTTGTGGCAATATTTTACACTTTGAAGGTGCAAAACGCATACCAAACATAACTACATTAGCGCTCAAACTATCTTACCTGGTTCTTCCCTTAGTAGCACAATTTATTTTGCATATTCCAGATCAAACTGCGTGCCATCTGGGAGCAGATCGAAGCCGCTAACGTCGCACGAGGATACAGCTGTTTCAAGAAATAAATCTTTGCGAAGTTGAATAGAAACGGAGAGAGAGGGTAACCCTAACGAACACCACTTTCCGTGGTGAACTTAGGCAAAAATTTAGGTAAGCTCGGACTTCGCTTCGGGTATTAGTATAAAGGGGTTGTTCAGTTCAGTTCAGTTTGTACAATCATTAACCACGTATACCCGTGCGCCGGTTGTGGTTGCTGTCTATTGGCTGCCCATTTGGATGAAGAATAGGAGAAGAAAGGAAAATTGAAAGTCTAAAAGCAGCCTGGTTCTCGCGCGTGCACTGTTCACGTGCGGCAGACAATCGACGGAATATAATACCGGCGAGAGATTTAGAGACGATATTGATTAAACTAAGTCCTCTTTGGTTTTTTCAAAGGGGATCTGTCACCGTTCTTGCCAATCGGAAATATGACCAATTAACACCCATCAGTTGGGATCTCTTCGCTCTCCCGATGAAGGAAGAAGAAAAGCAGACATTCCGGAGAGGTTGCATATTTGGCTCCACCCAGAGACGATTGTAGCGGACAACTCATCTGCATATACATAAATTTTTACGGACGGTCAACAGCTTAAAAGTCCAAAGTTCTGAGGAAATGAACGAAGCACGAGCAAACATGGTCAGGCGTACGAAATGAAATTTTTCGGAGTAACTTTGAAAATTCGAATAAATAGAATAGAGAAAAGCAAGGTTTTCGTAATTGCCTTGATCCGAGAGTAACACGGTTTCTCCCGAGGATTTTGTTACTTTTATTCGCATCACCTCAGTTTTCTCAAGCTTAAACTTAAGACAAAATTCAGATAAAAGTGATTACTGAGCTGATGGCTGTTGGTGTTCAAGTGAGGGAACGGAAAGCGACAATTAGGCAAGGTGTGAACTTATGTCAAATAAGTCTTTCCCTCTACTTACCTTTGCAAAACTGATACAGTCGAGAATAGGTGCTGTAGTAGGACTTCTCTTGAGTACGAAAGGATCATTGCTCAACTTATCCGGATAAGTTTGTCTTCCGCTGTGGGTTGGTTAGATATGATACATTGTGCATTTTATGCTACAGTTAGTAGTGTTGGTAGCTTCTGATGAAAAGTTTACGATGTCATCTATCACGCTCTCGAACAGTTGAAAAGTCCCATTGTTAGCAACATCTCAAAG